TCTCTCTCTCTCTCTCTCTCTCTCTCTCTCTCTCACGTAGTAGGTACGTGATCTGTCTCTTATACACATCTAGATGTGTATAAGAGACAGGTGTTACATGGTGTGTTCTGGGTGGACATATGTTTCAGCTGCTAAGGGAAAGGGACGGAGGAAGATGGTGGTGGATAGTGATGGCGAGGAGGACAACAGTGATGAAGATTTCAAGTTGAATATCAGCAGTGATGATGAAGACGTCTTCAAGCCCAAGACAGCAAAGGGTAAGTCACAAATCTGTACTTGACCTCCATTTGGCTGTCCTCACCTTAGTTTATTGACAATCGGTCTTGTAATTCAATTTTCATTGATGATAGATATCCTGTGCTTTTTCTGTTTGAAGTGGTTTGAGCTGAGCGGTCTCATGGTTTTTGGATTCGTCTGCCACATATTAATCCCAGGGGAAATCCCAGTGGAAAAATGAAGTTTTCATTGGTTATAGATAACCTTACTGTTTTTTTTGTTGTGTACTACTTTGAATTGTGCAGTCGCACTACCGACTGTTAATCATGCTTCAGTTTTCCAGTCAGTTAATCATGAGACCGTAAGTACTGTGTTAAAGAAATAATGCCTTGCATGTCGAGACTATATCCCCGCAGTTGTTGGTGAGAAGCGTCTAGCATTGCCAATTGTCTCTCAAACATGGGAGCCATGTTCAGTTGATTTAAGTTTCACTTTTACCATGTTTGTTTCATTGAAACGTAACAGGTAGGGGCCGAGGAAGAGGAGCTGCAGGTTCAAAGCCAACAGGGGCGGGGAGGGGTGGGGTGATTGGAGGTGCAGTGAAGGCACCTCCAAAACCAAGGGGTCGTGGAGCTGCCAAGAAATCGAGTGAGGACACCGACTCCGCTGAGAAGAAACGAGCAAGAGCACCGAAGGTACGCGTTACAGGCAGAGCTAGTGAAATTATGGTTTGGCATTCTTTAACATGTAGTTATTTTCTGCGGGCGTTGATGAAAGCGGCACAACAGGCCGGCAGTTCAATCTTTGGCCAAGCCAGAGCAGGAACAGCGCATTGGGAATTCACGTGTACACCTAAGCTGCTAGTGGTCTACTGGAGTCGCTATGGAAGGGCATATCTGTTAGCTTGATGAATAATTTTGCCAGAGCGGTCGAGGGGCATTATTCCTTATTTCTGATGCCCATAGACATTCAAATCATCACAGAATGCGGTCGTATTTACTTGTTGACTTTTCAATGTATACTGCTTGGTCTCATTGTCTTTTCGATGTATACTGCAGGCCTTTGTCGTTGTGACTGCCAATTTGCAATGTTACATATTTCTTTATGGAAATTATGGTGATATTTATATTAGCTCTGGTCGCAGAGTTTGATTGCAGGCAGAGAGTGACTTCTATCCATGGGTAAAGACTGTAGGGGTAACCTGATTCCCTATTGGTTGGAACCACATCTGCATTTGTCACTCATTGATAAGGATTGCTACAAACTGAATGCTGTTGCAAATCCTACAGATGTTAGAGTTTGTTTGCCAATGACTGTCACATCTGTCGTGTTTGTGTTTCTCGGGTGAACGAGCCCATATTAGGGGGTGTTTCCAGCATATGGGTACGCCAGCTGGGCTAACTCGTCACCAGCGGAATAATGTATAGCTTAACCAGTTGCAGTCCTTGGGTTTACAAAAGACAAATGAGCCCATGCATATTTGTTTTCAAAATGAAAAAAATACAGCTGTCGTCTCCTCATACAGGGGGCAGTTGTAATTTTTCAGTTTTTTTGTCCTCTATTTCTCTGTCTAGCTACCTTGTATATATACCTAATCCGCAAGCCCCTATCTACTGTACAGTGTATTCTGCAAGGAATTACTACCTTAAGTCTAAGCTATCCTTAAGTTATGGGTCTATGCCTATCTACCTAACTCTGCGCTGTGCGGAGGACCAGTACCCACGCTTCTAACACCTGGCGCCAAGTCAACAATCTCCGCTGGTGACCACGAAGTATACTCCTGGGAGGTTGCGGGAATCGAAAGGACGACGTTGGGTAGCTCAGTTGGTTGAGCACGTAAGTGGCGCTCGTAAATGAGCCCATATTATTTGTCTTGTCAAAATGGTTTTCTGTGAATATGCTTTCTGTGAATTGCTCTCGATGAAAATGATTTCAATGTTGCTTTTGCTTCAACGTCTGCTGTTGCTTTCCACATGCGCTCATAATAAGGCGGTGAGGGTGAATGGCCTGCTTCCGTCTTCACCCAAGTAGAACGCCCAGTCATTATCATGGTATACAGACTGGAAGTTCTGCCAAATACAGCTATAATGACCGGGCGTTCTATTCGGGTGAAGACGGTAGCCTGACCCGGCCACGGGACTGCAGATCCTCGCCAGATGTATCCGGGAAAAAAAAAAGATGGCGAGGGTGAGAGCCTACGAAACGGTATTGTGGGGGATGGCTATTGCAAAACATTGTGTCGCAATAGGCTTGACTTGTCAACACAGGGGCTAATTGGCTTGAGGAACATATCAAAAAGATTTAACATATCAACAAGCAAGTTGACGGGAACTTGATTTGTTTGGCTCCTGGTGTGTCTATTGTTCATCTGCACAGCCTCCTGTGAGGCAAGAGGAGGTTATCATAGACACTGATGATGAAATTGAAGACCCTCGGGGATTTGGCAAAGAAGGTGAGTGACGTCATGGCTCTACGCCGTTTGTTCCACCTCTTTAGGTTCATTTCCTGATATTCTGCATTGTCTGTGTCCCCTAACTCTTTCTGGGAACCTAGCTACTTGCTTTATTGTGGGGAGCTGTATATTCTCTACTGTTGTAGGCTGCATTGTTTGTGTCCACTACCTCTTTCTGGGAACCTAGCTACTTCATTTATTGTGGGGAGCTGTATATATTCTACTGTTGTAGGCTAAGTAACAGGTCATTACCACTTGATTCATCCAAGTCGGAAATTGATACGTTCTCTCTCCCGCCTTAAATGCCATTTCATGTCCGGCTGAGTTGTACTTCTCTTATCTTCAAGTTGAGGGTGATTAGCTTTAAGTATCAAAGCCCCCAAACTTTCTTACATGTACGTTATCCACGTTGATACCAGCAGCGTTAGTCGTTGCAATTGCAAAGCATGAGGACATACTATTTCTTTGGGACTACGTAGTGCCGTTTAAAGTTTAAACCACATGGTGATGATTGTGTGACGTTGTACAGTCGCTCTGTTCAGTGCCATATTGCTGTTGTGCAGTGGCTTTCACAAACCTCTGTGCGTTGTTGTGCAGTGCCATATTGCTGTCAATGGATTTCTGGTTTTTTGTTCGAAATGCAAAGCTCTGATAGTCATAGATATGGTGTGAAAGGCATGGGAAAGTGCAGACGTGTTCTGACTGACTTGGGGCACTGTGTGGACTCAAAAGTCTGACATTCGCTCTTTGTGCTCAGGTTTTTTAGATCCCAAGTTTGCTGATTTTCTCCTCCTGTGTATTTGTGATGAGCAGTCGTTGCGGAGTCGCCAGCCGTGAAGTCACCGGCAATGAAGCTGCAAAGGTTAAAATCGTCGCCTTTTGGGAAGAAGAAAGCTGGGACTGTGAAGACACGAATTTCCAAAGCCATGGCTGCAGCCAAAACAGCACGTTCTGTTGCTGAAAGTGTCGATGAAGGAGGTGATGTCTCCAGAGCCGGAGGAGCAGGGGCTGTAGCCTCTTCTAATGCTGCATCTTCAATCGGCGATGATGAAGGGGCTTCCAACCGACCAGCAAGGAGAGCAGCTCGAACAACCCGGCCGAAAACGTACTACATTGACAGTGATAGCGAGAATGAGAATAATGACGAGGACGGAGATTTCGCCTTCAGTGACTGAATAACCACTGCCTAGCATTGTAATATTCTGCGCGGAAACACATTCTTCGGAAGAGATCGGTGTACGCATGTCAGTTTTCAAGTCTGTTGTATTTATTTTGTCTATATCACTGCCCCCCGCCAGATTGCTCTTGGCGGCCTGTTTTATGTGCGTGGTTGTCTGAGCTGGTAATTTAACCTGGGGTGCTTTATACTCCCTACGTCGAGGTGCGGAGAAGCGACCAGTTGGTGAGTAGTAGTTTGTTTGCATCAAGGTAGGCTTTTCTCATCTTTATAGGTTTCTATTCTTATCACCACGAGCAAGCCCTTCCTGTTATGTTAGCGTGTACGGCTGATATCAATCAGAGTTTTCTAGACGGCACCATGTTCTTAGGCACAAGCAACGTCTTGGCCTTATAGACGGCACCATGTACTTCGGCACAAGCGATGTCTTGGCCTTCATGGAATTATCGAATAGTATCAGAGTTTTCTAGAGGGCACCATGTACTTCGGCACAGGCATTGTTTTGGCCTTCATGGAAGCATCGAATAGTAGGATGATGACCTACTGCTTGTTCAACCTGTGTGGTTCTGCAACAGCAGTAGGGGGGTTTATGTGTGTGATTGTCCGAGCTGTTTTTTTTTTTTTTTTTTTTTACCGTGCTTTATACTCCCTAAGTCTAGGTTACTGATGTTCTCAGTCTGAGTCACAGAAGAGGCGACCAGTTGATGAGTGGTAGTTTGTTTGGAGGGATGGTTGGCCCTGCCCCTGATAAATTCGTCAACGTGGTGCACTGTCGCAGCAATTCGTCAACGTGGTGCGCAGAAGAGGCACAGAAGAGACGTAATTTCGAAAGTGCATGAACATCAACATAGGCAATATGGATAAATTCGTCACCGTGGTGCACTGTCACAACAATTCGTCGTTGGCATGGTGTTCAATGGTTGACGGTGGTTCTGGGGTGAATGAACAGTCTGAAAAGATGTTCTCTTGGTGGTGGTGGGAAGAAGTCAGCGGATGCACTTTTCTTGCCCCTTCAGTTATGTGATACAAACGTCTGGTCCAGTGTGAGATGAATTTGGATTTGCATGCATTGCTTTGCTCAAGGGGTTGAGGACCGTTGGACGAGGAGGACCATTGGATGAGGACCATTGGATACCAGCTGATAACTGACTGGTGCAGGAGTGGAGAGACCCTGCCCCTGAGTGACCAAGTAACATGTTGCTGGGAGCGAAATTCGGTGGTTTGGCAAAAGAAAGGGTCGTTCGGCAGACTGGCTGGCCAGGCGGGGAGTTGGTCGCCACTGATAAAGCCAAAATTATTCTTTAAAGTCGGGGAAAGGCCACTGCAGCAGAGTAAAGTGAGAAGAGTATGTGGAAGTCAGAGAGAGAGAGAGAGAGAGAGAGAGAGAGAGAGAGAGAGAGAGAGAGAGAGAGAGAGAGAGAGAGAGAGAGAGAGAGAGAG